AGTTTTTATAGGTAGTTTTTTTTTATTTAATATGCAGCTGTTTCATCATTATGCATATGCAAGAAAAAGTAAACAGTAGCATTAAACTAAGAAAAGTATTTTTTTAAATACAGTAGATGCATTGAAAAATGATATGAATTACTTCTCTTTTATTTAAGGAATGAATTTAATAGCTCCCAATTTATATGATATAAACTGAGTTGGGGCCGTAAACAGTGCAGTTTATATTTGAAAAAAAAGTGTAAAGTGTTCCAACACAGTTTATACCGTATAAATTGGGTAGCTATGAATTTAATTCCTTATAATTTAATTTTTCGTAATTTAGTGTGTGAAAAAAGTCGATTTCCATTAAAAATCACTTCAAATTGTACAATATTCAAATGTAACGCCAGGCGGATCGATATGTTTTTGATGTATGTGATTGTGACATAGATAACCAAATTATGCAATAAAAGTTATTTCTTTATCCAACCAAATACCGCATAACTAGAATTAAACAAGAAAACATTGATTTAACCATCAATTGTCGCCCGGGAAATATATAAAGTAAACAACGAAAATGAATCTTGATCAACAAATCGCTTCGATATGTGTAAAAAGGCATGCATCTAATTGATGGAGACGATAGTCGCAAATATTTTTTTTAAAAAAACCTTGTAGTCGGATGAAAATCAATCAAAAACGATACCATTTTAAACTTTATCAATTCCTCAAGTAAATGTTGGCTGCATAAAATATAAATTGAAGTTAGACACACGGATCATTTATATTTAAAAATGTATTAATTTTCAATTTTATAATATAAAACACGAACTGTGCAGAGTACGTTTTTATCCGAGAAGTAAAATTCGATGTTCTAAAAAAGGGACCTGTCGTTGTTTTGATAGTAAATGATAAGCAACTTTATATATTAAATATGAAAAACATGTATATTTTTACAGATTAACTTTATGGAAGTAAATATATTATGTATCTCGTAATTTATAAACGGAAAGAACAATCTGATTAACAATCTTTTCAATGTTTAGAAAACCTTTAATTCTACATAACTACTCCCATCCCCTTCCCCATACACCAACACTTAAACTTATATGTATAGAGCAGCCCGGTCCTCCGGGCTGCAATTATTACATCTTTTCACTTCCGTAGATGATGTAAGTTAGAAAAATGCATCGCTGTTTATTGTTCTTTTCTGTGCAAGTAGTAAGAGCTGTACATGTGCATAATCTTTGATAGCTTGCCAAGGATATTGATAAATAGTTACGTTTAGTTGAAAAAATGTAATTCTATCTAGATACAACACAGAGTATTTGATTTGGATACTTCTTCCGGAATTAGTTTTTAGCAGTTGATTTAGTTGAATATTTTGAAGAAAGGCCTATTGAGCTTCTCAATTGATTTTGTTATTGTTGTATTGTCTAATACCTTCTTATTTTTGTTGTACACAAAAATGTAGAAAAAATTCGGAACCCCCCCCCCCTTCTTCTGTGTCACGTGTCTGCTGCAGCTCCATCTCTTTGGAGACTTCGTGCAAATTCTGTCGTGAATATACGGATGCTCGTATACATTGTAAGTTACAGTCCCACATTCTAAGACATTTTATGATTGAGAATAAAGCAGATTAGACATGTTTATCAACCTTTTCCGTCATTTTGCTGCACTGTTATGTATTCATAATCCGTTTGCTGAGGTTATACACTCCGATGATACATCGACTGTGAAACTGGCAAACATGATACTTCACTAAAATGTTATAATTAGATCTAATACAAATTGCTACAAATTAATACAAATTGTTTGAACACTTTTAAAACATCCCAACCTAGTATTATTTTCAGCATAGTTTATCTACAAAAGATAAAAATACGATGTAGAGATGACTTGAAAGTTTTGGATTCCTGAAAACAGCATAATGTCGGCCATTTATAAAATTGCTGAATCAAGCTGCCGCATGCAGTTACGCAGTCTCCGGTGCTAAATCAGCCCTCTGAACTTAGAACATCAATGAAGGATGAAATTTTCAATTAAACATTTTAGAGGTTATAAATTTTCTTTGTAATGATTAATATTAAGGATTTATTTAACCTGTAATAATTATATCCCCGATAAAGATTTTACAACCAACATTTTATAATTAACATCTATACCTTATAAAATAGAATAATAATCTTATTTCCTTCTGTTGAATTGCAATTAAATGAGTATATGCATTTCAAATTATGGAAGTTTACTACCAATACACAAAATTTAATATTTTTTCCTGCAAAAGTGATCGGCTTGAAGAGTGCGTGATTGATCAACTAACCCATTCATACAGCTTCACGTGTATCAAAAAATACATATGTATAAATTAAAACAATAAATTCATTTTTTCAAATTAACAAAAATTACAATTTCCGATTGTACATGTGTGCCTTGTTCTTCTTTAATTAGTTAAGGTTATTAATTAAGCGTGAATGTCCATAGCCGAGACACACACACACAAACCTCCCCCCTCCCCCGTTTCGATAGTGAAAGAATATTAAGAATGTTTTACCCGTTCTCTTACTTTCTGTTGCGATTTTAACAGACATGCAGTGATGTAGCATCGTTTTTGTAAGTGTTGAAGGGGGGGGGAGCCAGAGAATTTTTTTGTTTACTTCTGTTTACTACTACATGTTTTAACCTATACTAAAAAGCAAATAGTATTTGATATGATTAAAATAAATCATAATGTGTGCATGTTCTTTCTTAGAAGGTAAGAATGAAGTTTCGATTAGGCCTCATATTCTATGGGTTGTAATTTTCCAAACGTTTTTACAATCATGTAGATTACATAACGACACCAAAAGAAGAAAAGGATCGAACTGCACTACAAGAGTCAAATAAAATTTATCAGAGAATATCAATAAGTCAAAAAGGCTTCAAAGATGAGTTCGTAATTCTGCATACATCTTTCCCTCATTAAAACATATGAAACTAAAACATGTAAATAGTATAAACTTGTGGTAAAAGAAATGTTATGGTAGCCTTTAGATAAAAAAAACCCTATTGCACTCTTTAAAAAACCAGGTACATGTATTTAAAATGTAAACTATGACAATACATGTACTTTCTTTTTATTCTGTGTATTGAACAGACTTTTAATGTCCGGGGGGAGTAGGTGGTTGGGGCTCTCTGGAACTTTTTTAAGATAACTACTTTGATAATGAAACAGATACATTTAAGTGCCCCTGCTTACCGGGTAATTGGGATTGAACCCGAGACCTCTGGCTTGCCAGTCCAGTGCTTTATACCGATTGAGCTTAAGCCTTAAAGCTTAACCCACCAGTCCAAGCTAGTAGGAAGCCGTGTATATTGCTTGTACTACCATTTAGGATTTTTTTTTTATGTACATGTTGCTTATTTCTTTTTACTGTTGCAGTGATGTAGATTTCTGCCGTTTCCTTGGATTAAAAAAGCCATAAATTGGAATATCTTTTAGAGGAAGAGAATATTTTTGATTTGAGTTTTGTTCTTTTTCCCTTGTCAATCATTTCGTTGCCCACCCCCCCCCCCCCCTTCTTTTCGTTTTTCAAAGGCATAGTTTAGAATGTTTATTTTTATTATTGGGATTAAGGGAATCAAATCAACAGTTTGAAAATATAAATATCATCAAATTATTAGATAGCTTCACGTTATTTTACGATTTTACATTATGAAAATTCTTGCAGTTACGCACGTGTACACTGTTCGTCAAAGTAAATATTCCGTGTTTTTCAAGCGATATTTTATACATTTATACACAGAAATATATGTCATGTTATACATCAAATGAAAGAGAAAGAAAAACTCTACAAGAATCAATAAAAAACTGAAAATGTAAAAATTCTTCGTTAAGGGAGGTTTTTGCTTGGCGCCTCACATATTTATGTTTTATTTATTTGACTAAAACATATGAAAAGATATAAGGAACATTTAATCATAGGCATGACTATAATAAAACATGGTGCTGCATGAAAGTCCTATTTATAAGCAAAATATCGTCTACCCCCTTTTTTCAAGATCTGGGTTATGGATAATTTACAATTAAGCACTGGTATTAAGATAATTCATCATTTTCCATTGAACTGTTCTTTGTATTAACCAAAGATTTTATGGCTATATTGCAATTTGCATCGAATCAAAATGTTGAAAAATGTAGGCGTGAATAATTAGCGTGCATATTTCTTACCCTTATAACAAATTATTTAAGAATTTTATTCGTTATTAGGGTTTCAATAAAATAGGTCTAAAGAATCAAATTGCTATAAATTATTCGATAATTTGTTATGTTGATATATTTTTCATAGTCAACATTACCTGAATTTCTTTAATGGAAATTATTTCCTTGCCTCAAGTAAAGTCAAGAGGATTGAAACATTTTTGACATTATTTATTGTGCCTTTCAGACAACAGATTTTGCAATTTAAACATATTTTATCAATGAAAATGTGTATTGCAACAGACTTTAATGGGTTAATTGAAATAGAAAAAGTAAATTATTTCTTGCATCTTAACTGTTTCAGGTTTCAAGCCAATACATTAGTGAAAAATTGAAGATCTACGTGATTTATACCACTTATTTTATTTTATTCGATAGAACCATCTTGTGAAAAAGCAATATAATTGGTATCTTTAAGTAAAATATGCTACTACAATTACTTAACAATTGATTTTTTTCACAAATATCTTTAACATAATAAAGTTATCTTTAATCTCTATGAAGAGATAAAAATATTTTTCAAAAAAGTGGATGAAATCATTTTTGTCAAGCAATCATTCAACCATTCAATCATTGTGTAAAACATAATGCATATTTCAAATTAAAAGGGTTTATGAGCGCAGTAATAAATAATTTTTTGCATCAGACGAACGATCGTCAGATGTTGCGCATATCAAGCTTTAATTAAATAGATGGTTTTCTGTGAACCAAAAAGATTGATTTTGGTTTTTTTTTTAGATGTGACCTCTCAGATCAAATTGGTTTCCAATTTCTTCACCATGGACCCTATCAAATCGGTGACACTTTTCGAGGAATATGTGACGTGGAATTACCACCTGATGATAATATAACAAACGTAGATGCATATTGGAAAGTTGGGAATACTGACTATTGTCACAACGGTCAAAAGATATTGCTTAATATGAACTACACGTGTGGGGCAATTACTGTACAGAATACGACTTACTTCGAACTTCGAGTTCCAGGTACATTGCGATGCTTTTGTTCCCTTTTTTCATAATAAGTGCATCTAAAAATCTAAAATTAATTTTTAATGCAACAAACTTTTTTTGTCTCATTAGACCTTACATTAGAAGATTCTGGTGCATACGCGTGTAAAGTAAAGCATACCACTAAAGGTTTTGAGAATACTGATTCTCTAAATATTACAGTTCTAGGTAAGTATAAAATTATGCTGAAATTAATGAATATTCACTAAGTTCAACCAGTTTTAAAATTGTTGTTGTAAAAATTCAATTTAGAATGATATTGGTTTGATTTTACAAGAAGACATTCATTTAGTTAAAAAGTTATTTTATTACGTTATTAAGCACAATCTACTTTAAATCAGGATTTTTATATCCGTACCGTATACACTTTTCATTACACATACACAGAGTGTATACGGTGCGGATCTAAGAAGTCTGATTTTTTTCATATTGTAATGAAACATTATCTTTAGTTCTCTATTCAAGTATTGTACGTCTTTTCTTACAGATCCTTCCATCACAAAACCACGTAAAAAAGCAGGTAAAACTTGAGTTACTCTTAAACACTGTTTCCTTTTTTAAAACATTCACATTATTATATTATCATATGCCTTAAATATAAAATAAATCTAAAATTTTAAGTAATTCTCTGTGAAAATGTATATCTTCATAAGATGTTGGTTCATTGCATTGTGTATCATTAGAGGAAAAAAAACGAATCTAATGTAATACATATTTTTAAAAGCAATAAACTGTAACGGGAGAGAAGAAAAAGAACCAGAGCGGGTTTCGAACCCGGTCCCCTGGTGCTCTACCGACTGAGCTATCTGGCCACAGGCTTACCACCACATTCCTCCCTCTTAAGTGGTCTTTGGCCCCAAAACACCAAAACCCAGGATTATCTTTGGCAGGACTCTCATCTGTCAGTTCCAGTTTATGACATGACATCAAATGTAAATCGTGCATTCCCACCCCACACCCCCATTTGAAATTTGTGTATATAAAATTAATACATGTCAATTATCCTAAAATCAAGGAGAAAACATCGCTTATTTGTAAAAACTTGTCAGCTTTAGGGGGCTTTGCCCCCGGACGCCAAAAATAGACCTTGCCTTAGACCCACTGGGGACTTCAGTACAGCCACCTGACCCTCTGCCTTCTACTGCGCCCCCTCCCCCCCCCCCCCGCACTAAAGTAATTTCTGGATTCGCCATTGGAAACTACGCGCAGCTAGATTAAGGACTGCCAAAGGTAGATTAGCCTATGCAGAGCTAATATCGGCGAATAAATAATGATTTTCTTTTTCATACATTTTACATATAGTGATTTCTCCTAATTATTGTAAACATAAATTCATGTGTAACTTATCCTGTCATTACAATACTATTTAAATATAAAATTAAAGCCAACTTGATCTCGCTGTACTGACAGATATGACGTCATAGACTAGTTTGACACGCAGTTTCTCTACACTTGAGACGCAGATCAAGCTAAAATTGCAACTTGTAAATGTGAAATTTAAAACTGAATAAGCGTGATCTGACTAAAATTGAGTCATATTTTTTAATGCTTTAATTAATATTTCACATTCTTATTAAATTGATAACGAATAGGTCTCTTATAGAGCCGCAGTCATGCACTTTTATACACAAATATACTACAATCAAATGCACACCCCCTTGAAAATCTCAAAAGTTCAACGATATCCGCTTAAGGTAAGTCACTCGTCAGCTTTTTAGAAAAGTTCACGCAGAACCTCTAACTTCAAAAATATTTATTAAAATTCAATTTTTATAAAATAGTTATATTCAACAATGTATATTTTTTAACAATCAAAGAAAAAACTGCTCAAAAATCTTCAAAGAAGCAAGATTTATTAGGGACTATTTTTCGTGGTGGAAGGATATTTAGCAGAAATTTCTGCAAATCTGCACATTTATTAAATTTAACGTCTTGAAACTTTAGCCTCACATACTTTTACTCGGAGAATATTTTCGGTTATGCTATTGGTAGGAATATTTAATATAGGTCTTAATTTAAATTTTTAGAATAAGTTTTAGATCTTCCTTCAACAAACTTTGCCAAAAACTGGAGATATATCAAAGAAGTCAAGATAAATTTTACACTATTTTTTGCCTGAAAATCACATATTTTGTCCAATATTTCAAAATTAACATCACTGACCCCAACTTTTTCTTTCATTATTTCAAACTTCTCGATACTTATGACTGATCAGCACTTAAGTCATACAAAGCTTGATATAAGAAAATATTGTATTGCCTATTTATTTTTCTAATACCCAAAATATGTTATATTTTAGTGCAAAAAGGTCACATAATTATTTACGCGCATTAATTTGAAAGATTTGATCAATGATAAATATTATTCAAACTATTTTACGTAAATTAAGAATAAACTTGTTGCCATGGTTACAGCTGAAAAAATATAATAAGAGATAATTGTATAAAAGTAATAAACTAAGGGCTTAAAATTTAAGTGCAAATAGGTCAACTTAAATGTACCATACATCAGTACGATGCACACTGACCACCTATTTTCTCTGCGATTTTGAGTCACACTTTATGTGTACTTATCAAAAATATACTTCTCAAAAAATCCTTGATATAAGAAATTTGAGGAGTGACTTACCTTAACTGTAAAATATTATATTTTGTACACATGTAGCTATTGTCCCTACTATTTTGAAACGTGCTGGGAGCAAGTTGTGCGCTGTTGTTTTATATATATATATATATATATATATATATATATATATATATATATATATATATATATATATATATATATATATATATATATATATATATATATATATATATATTTACATTATTTCAATGCGTATAGTGTAAATGCACGAGGTTTCGAAAGAGACGGAGAAAGAGAAAGAGATTTTATATAATTACCGTGCATGGGGAAGTTACTCCCTTCACATTTCGGGTTAAGAAATTTGTCTTAAAGAAAACACATTCAATTTCTTGGTGAAAAATTATCCGTCTATCGTTGAACTTTTACGATCTTTGTATCCGTACATATTTTTTTCTAATTTTAACCATGTCACGTGACATACAGCTGATGTACGTAAAGTCACTTTGGCCGAACTCGGTTGAGACCCCATGCATACATATGCATTAGTACAATTCCCATTAAATTTAAACTCATGCTTAAAAAAAAGATATCAAAATTATATTGATTTTTTCGGAATGTATTAAGGCATATTTCCTATGGGCGCCCTTAACCTAGCTGCGCGGTCAGGTGCTCTACCGACAGAGCTATCTGGCCAGCGGCGATCGAACCCGACTGACCTCCACATATCTTTTGAATTACCGGTTATGCTCCAGACGAAAAATAATTAATTAAAATTAATACACCTAAGCGTGAAAGGCATCTTTACGGAAACAATTACGAGAATTACGTACAATTAAACTGTATATCAAAATAATTGAATATAGAAAAAACACAACTGTGTTGTTAAATATTGATTCCATTCTGCATTTTAAAAAGAAACAATCTTATTTTTTTTATAATCCGGTGGTGGCTGTTTACTTAAACTTTATTTGAACAATTTTATTTACATTCTAATATCTTTTGTAGAATCAACAACAGTGACCGCTCTAAGTAAGCATTTTTTCCTAAATTTAGATTTTAATTTACTTTTTTTTTAATATGTTCAGTGTTATCATTAATTTTTATTAAAATGATCAACAGAAATCCATTTTGTCAATTTCAAACGTGACGTACTTTTATAAAATTTATGACTGTTTTTGTTTTCTTTACAGCTGGCAGTGATGGTAGGGGAGGAGCTGTCTCAGTAGAAACCAAACTTCTATCAACTATCGCCATTATGTTGTCAGCCTCTCTTATTTATATTTGATTCTCAGTAGAAACCAAACTTCTATCAACTATCGCCATTTTATTGTCATCCTCTCTAGTTTATATTTGATTCTCAGTAGAAACCAAACTTCTATCAACTATCGCCATTATGTTGTCAGCCTCTCTAGTTTATATTTAATTCTCAGTAGAAACCAAACTTCTATCAAGTGTCGTCATTATGTTGTCTAATTAACATTTGATTTCATATGCGATTTAACATTGTATTTATATAATCAATGGTCAATTCATACCTTTAACTTGTATTACGGAATCTGTAATCAATGTCTAATATCACTGTAATATGAAGTAAACCTTAAAGACAATAAAACTGTTTTATCAATGATTAAAGTA